GTGCCATCCGACACCAGCAATGCTTCACAGACAATGATGATCAAAGACTTGAACGTCCCTCAGATCTTCAGACCGAATTGGCCAAGTCTCACTCCCATAGAGCAGGAGGGCCCTCACTGTGTCCTTGTATACAAGGCCTTTCAGACGGAAGGATATTCCCTTCTGTCACCAAAGATGCCGCAGGTTCAAGAAGGCAGCTCTGGCCTTTGAAATGCGTGAGCTGACGTCAGTTTCTATGCGCCCATCGTTGCTGATGCAGCTGCTGAGATAAGTGAATTGATCAACCACCTCGAGTTCCTCGTTAGCAAGCGTCAAGGGATCAACAAATGACTGGTGGTCCTGCAGCAACACTTTGCACTTTGAAGGTGGGAAGTGCATACCAAATAATGGGGCCACTCTGGACAGGCTATTCAGGGTTGATTGTGCCGCCGAAACATCGTCAAAAAGCAAGACGATATCGTCCGCATAATCAAGATCAACTATTCTTTCAGCAGGCAGCATTTCAACACCTTCATGAGATTCCGCAAGGGAACACTCCATGATAGAATCCACGACGAAATTGAACAGAAATGCGGAAATCGGACAACCCTGACGAACGCCACTTGTGGTCGGAAAGCTATCCGATAACTAGACGCTGACGCGGCCTGTAGTGTTCGAGTATAGAGCACGAAGGATGTTCACATATTTCGTGGGAACACCTTTTCGCGCAAGTAATTCGAACAGAATCGATCGATCGACTGAATCGAACGCACTCTTGAAATCGAGGAACACAGCTATTGTCGGTCTGCGGTATGCTTGGCGCTGCTCTAGCACCTGCCGCAAAGTGAATATATGGTCTACCAAGCCACGTCCTGGGCGGAAACCGGCCTGCTCTTCCCTAATGCGAGATTTCCGTTCTGCAGTGAGGCGACGAACAATAATCGAGGCCAATAATTTTGTCCCAACTGGCGTTAGGCTAATACCCCTGTGGTTAGAGCAGTCTGTGCGATTGTCCTTCTTGTATATTAACACTATAATCGATTCGGTCCAATTAGCTGACACACTCCTCGTTCCAGATACGTTCGAATAGGGAGGTCAGTGCTTTGCAGAGGACCTCACCTCCATCCTTAAATTGTGCAGGTGGGAGGGAATCCGGGCCAGCGGCACGAAAACGATTAAGGGCTGTGATCGCGTTTCGGACCTTGGCCTCTGACGGAGGCTCTAAACTAACCGTCCATGGCTCGTCCTGCATCACCTGAGTAGGAAGAGGTCCGGGAGTAGGGGGCCAGCTGAACTGATCGTGAAAGTGTTCAGCCCCACGAGCCATACGGCGCTCCTTTTTGTATACTAGCGCACCCGCGCTAGTTCCCTTCCATCGTAAGTAATTTACTCAGCTACTCTTGCCCATCTGGACTGTAGGCTGCTTGGTAGTATGCGAACTACCCGTTCAAGGTTGGCAGTGGAATTCAGATCGGCTGTGAAATGCATTTGTGATAGGGCGATATTTCCATTTTCAAAGACAACTTAGACAAATCTTCCGAGTCAACAGAATGTGGTCTTAAACCAGTCAATAAACTATCAATTAGGGATCTAGCCACTACGTGACTTTCCCCAAGGGCCTCGCGAAGAACGCATCTTGCCCTGTCGTGTGCCTTGGCAAGCGGTAAAATAACGCATTCGCTGATGGCCACGTTTGCACGACCACGGCAATAATATATCAAATAAAGTAATCTCCGCCCATTGTCGAAGACCCGGCTTTCGATAAAATATTCGAACTGCTTAACGAATTTCCACTAAGCAGCAGGGTTCCTATTCAAAACTCCAACTCGACTCTGGGTAAGTCTGCTGGTTGTCGATAGCTTTCCCGTAAACTGTCAGAAGAAAACTTAAGACCGGTCACCTCAGGCAACGACCTACGGCTCTCTTCAACCAACCGATCCAGCCGCTCATTGCTAACTACTTGTGATCGACTATGACTTAAAGGCGGTTCACGAACTTCAACCCCTACCATTTCCGACCGCAGCTTAGCCGTCTTTACTTCGGTTTCGTCCTGCAAAAGACCTCTTTAATTGTCTATCTCTATTTCGGCATGTAACTGCTCCTTCTTCAACTCTGCTAACTTAAACGCTGCAAGGGCGCTGCTGGAACCCACACTACTACTCCTACTGCTAATATGTGAACCAGAGCATGAAACGTTATCATCAAGGACTTGCCGGGGTTCTTCAGTTTCCACAGATTCTCCGGGACTATTTTTTTGGATGCGCGATCCACAGCGGTCACCAAAGAGTATTGAGCCTTGTGTTGTACTCCAAAGACAGTAGTTGTTGATAGCTGTAGTCCACGACACTCAAGGCTTCACTCCAAATATGAGGAAGCGATGTTGAGTACTGTAAGCGACAATTCGCTTGGAACCCTTAACGCTTTTCCACCGGCATCAACAATACAGCACCGGAAATGGAATACGGTACTATCACAATTAATTAAAAACAACAATGTACAATAGCTCAACAATCTATGCTTCCGGCACAGGCGTATCAAACAACGACAACAATCCAAGGTAGCCAGCAAGCTGAGCTTCAAGTTCACGTAGAATAAGCCCGTCTCACTGTACTGTGGCTTTAACAGGCTTACACCTGACCAATCGGAAACGGCGGTTGTCGTTAAACGTGGGCGTTCGACTACCGTGATGGTATTGCAAGTGTTTCAATTGCGTATATATATATATATATATATATATATATATATATATATATATATATATGTGCCATGAGCTATGCCATTAGGGGCCACTACAGAAGCGACGACGGGTCCTACAGAGAATTACGGCGAGCCGGCGCAGCGTTTGTAGGCACGCTGAATTCGATTTACTAGCCGTGTGCTTGCATGCTAAGTCTCTTTATTTCAGGTGATGGGTTTACAGTTTTTACCTTAATGCTTTTCTTTCTCATATAAATATCTCCCTGTACTCTATTTCATTAACTTGCACACATCGCCTAAGCCAATTGTATTCGATTTCCATAACATTTTTGCGTTCGTGGCATTTCGTGAACTATACTTCCTGACCTCGTGCACTTAGCTAGGATTTGTTTGTAAACAACTTATTACATATGCTATTTAATTAAGGTTTATATCACCGTTTCCTTATGCATTAATCGAGTTTTTCTCTTTTTCTTTCTCTCTCTCAAGTGTTTGGCTGTTGTTTGATATCCCCTGTGTGGATGCGCTTGATGTGCATGTTGACAAGGTGCCTACCTGTCTATTACCCACTACCTCGTCCATACTGGCTCCAGGAGACAGTTGGTCGTTGCTGGAGGGGACAGGGTGCACGGTCCTTGTGGCCGTGTTAGGATCAAAGAGTGGTTCCATGCAGTCAGTGTGGAGCGGACTACGGTCCAGCCACCGCCTTGTGTGCGCTTGATTCCCAAATACAGTGTGCTTGTGTTTGCCTGTGAAGGAGTGTGAGCCGGCTCCGTTGATGAAACGTGGTTCCCATCCGCATGCCTCCCGGTCTTATTCCTTCGGGTTTACACTGGATATGGCGTGTGTGGTTGGAGCTGTGGTTGGTGCAGCGCAATCCATCTATGATCTCTCTGTAGGCGCAGGCGTCCTGTGGCTTGCCACAGTGGCAGGCAAATTCGAAACCGGATGCCGCCAACCATATAACATACTCCATGCAACTTCACTGCAGTTGGGATACACCGACTTACTGCTGAACTAGATCTGCTTAACCTGGATAAAATATATTCTACGCTATTAGATTTGCCCAGTTCTGTTATTCTGCTGCTTGTTCCGTGTCAACTTTTCGTGTTTAATTCTTTAAATTCTTTCTTGGTTTTTGATATTCTTGATGTGACGTCGCTTGATGTGAATGTTCACAATGTACCTGCCTGTCTGGCAATCACCTCGATTACTGGCTCCAGAAGACTGTGGATCGTTGCTGGGGTGACGGTGGTGCACGGTTTTCGTCGCCCTGTTTGACTCCAAGAGTGCTTCCATCCAATGTGGAGCGGACTACGGTTCAGCCTTGTTTACGCCTAGTACGCATGGTTCCCTACATAGACGTGAATGCTTCTGCTGTGAATGTCGAAGGACTGTGGACCACCTCCGTTAATGAAACGTGGCTCCCATCCACATGCCTCCCGATCTTATTCTTTCGGGTTTACACTGGATGTGGAGTGTGTAGGTGGAACTATGGGTGGTGCATCTGAAGCCACCCATGGTCCCTCTGTAGGCGCGGGCGTCCTTTGGTTGTCCTGTGGAGACCGCAGTGACAAGCAAATCCGGAACTATATGTCCCCAACTAAATATAATTTAGCAACAATTTATACCATAGAAATAGAATCTGTGTGAACCTACCATTAGCCTACTTTCAGTTAGGCGATTTCTAAGCATTTTGGACCCATAATGTTGGTTATTCATTCTGCCGTCACTCTGGTCCCTTGCTCAGGACTTCGTCACAATCAACACTGATTGGTCTGCCAAAGTGCAGCAGTTCCAAGCACTTGTGACCGAAACAAACGAATTGCCTTCTTCCATTAATGTCGGTGCTTCCAAAGAACAACAGTATCCATCACCGGGAGTGCGGACAAAGCGCTACATAGGTGTTCGCAATACACTGTCATCTACTGGCTTCCATCCGTGCGCTGGGGACTCAGGTCAGTTGCTCCCCCGTGCTTGTCCCACTGATACCTAACGTTCGCAATATTTTCGTGATTTTGACGCTTTATACTGTATATAATAGAACGTTGGCAGCTGCTCATCTATATCTTTACATATCTGAATAATTCTGCTTTCAAAATCCATCAGCTTATAAGTAGCGTTTAGCTGCCGTATACACTAACTGCAATCAGGAAGGAATTAAAATTTCTTTACTCATAGAAACGGTTCACGCTAACTTTCTGCACTTGGTTTCATCGCATATTTTGTGCTATTTGAAGACCAGATGTTTAAAAAAGACCTACTGAACATCTTCTTTTGCAAACTGTAAAGCAGGTTTTTGAATAGATAAGTTTTACTAGTACCTGTCACCTTGAGTGAGGGCCGTGTGCGCATGCATTCAGTTCACAAAACACGCGTCCAACTTTGTATACTTGGGGAGTTAGCAGTGTTCATGCAATTGCCCTCCCTGTTCTACTTCTCAATTACTTCCTCCACTAGTTCTCTTGTTTTGCAATTGGTTCCCATTACTTTGCGTTTTCTCTTTCTTAATTAAGTACATTCCTCCGATCATTATTGATTTGAGCCAAGTTGATCACGTGAGTTAATAACCAACTCACAACACAAACTACTCCGTGTTCTTACCGTTAAACACGCAAGTACCCAGTGTTCTTCGGTTTACTGGCCTCGTCATCACTGCCTCCTTTTGTTTTTATTCCATACTTGGTACCACATGCAGCTTTCCCCTCTCGACCAACTTTCTTATTTCGGGGGTTTCGTCCCAGGAGGAGTCAGTTCAACGAGTCATCTTGATTCACTTCACCCAACGCAACCGTGCCTTAGTGTCACTTATTTTCACCGTCGTCGTTCTCAACAAGCTCCGTTTTAGTCATCACTCCCAAGTTCATGTAGTTACACGAAACTGCTGGGCCAAGTGCCCAATTAATACTCGTGTAATCGAATTCTAACCTCATTCCTGACTGACCAATCCAGGCATATACGGAACCTGTGCAATGAAGGATACGAATATGATTAGTCTTCCTATCTCAGATAAGGTCCCGTTGATCAAATTCACTCCGTTCTCTAGGTGTAAATATTTGTCCCGATCGGAATTCATTTTTCCCCATGCCTGCAGACAATACGCAACCAGACTTTACCCCACTGTAGCTGGCGAAGGTCTTCTGTAAGCTTGTTACGGTTTTCATCCCAATAGTTCGCATAGCAGAACCTAGTGCAGAAAAGCACCAGGCGCGTTTCGCCCTATTGGGGCTCATCAGTGGTGCGCATTCCCTCGGTCCTCTAAGGAGGATCGAACCCATGACCGCCAGAGTCTATTTAGCCTCTCCTAGTTTCAAACTGCTATGGATATAGCGTCTAGTGAGAGGACGTCATCACCTCGCAAGCTAACCACTGTCAGTGACGGTGGAAGATAGGTAGTTCTATATCCCAGTTTGGTTGCAAGTTATGTAGCCCAACCAACGTCCCACATGGCTCCGTGGCTTAAGCTGCTGGCTAGTTGGCATCTGCCTCTAGCGGTCATGGGTTCCATCCTCCTTATAGGACCGAGGCAATGAGCACCACTGACGAGCCCCAATAGGGCGAAACGTGTCTGCTGCTTTTCCGGACTAGGCTCAGCTATGTAGCTTGTGAATTACTGGGATGAAAACTTTAACAAATTACAACTTAAATCCTCCTACTTACCAGTATTCTGTAAGCCTCTGTGCCTGATCTCTTTCAATTGTCCAGGTCCAGAGAATTGTTGCAGCTTCATACTGTTAAGGTATTGATTTGGTCTACATGCTCCATGATAGCCTGACTACCTGCGTCACTGATTGCCCACCGCCACCCGCTTGACATTTGTCTGTTAGACGACGGTCAAAAATTCCTTGTCAAACTTCTTGAATGATTAGTCACATAATTTTGGCAATGTTCAGCATTCAAAAACTTGCTGTCCATCCAATTTCTTATCCTTATGTTTTAGCTTCATATGACAGTTTTCGCATTAACCTCTGGGATCCTTATCGCGGACGGGGCCGTCTCGTGGTTTCACTCGATGCCCAGCCGAATCTCGAGACTTTTCCCTCGCAATTCAAAAATACGTCTCCTGTCTATAATTTTCTAACCCAGCTCGCGTCATTCCGAAGCCTGTGCACTTTACAGCAACGTATTGCCAACCTGAAGGTGTACCGAAGAGAATGTCTTTACTCGTATTTGGCGGCTTCGAATGCCACGGAGTGTTGTCCCATGTTGTCTTTGCCCAACCTGGTCGCATCGTTCATGGGTTTCTCGTCGTGCAATGAGGTATTTCCTTGAGAATTTTCTCAAATTTTTTCGGAAATCCATTTTCTTGTCTGCATTAGGCGATTGCCGTAACCGATTTTCAGTCTTTCTATTTGTCCAATTGACCACATGTGTCGATCTGCTGACTATTCCTCCATGAGCACTCGAACCAGACTGCACTTCTTGACTTTAATCCATGTTGAACAATTCCTTTCGGATTATCTTTTCCTGACCACTTTTTGTTGATGATCCAGGCGTTAGATACTCTTATCTCTGTGTTCGACTGAACCACTGCATCCCAACACTCGTACTTAGGCCTGGGGCCGCTCCCACATGTCCACTTACCTCATCTGGTGTCTTCTCATACCACTTGTTATCCTAGTCGATAGACTTCGTTTTCCGCAATGCTTGTGATTGCTGTTCCACCGTCCAACTACATCAGGATTTTGCTTTGTGACAATGCACCTTTCCACATTGGGATTTGGGATTACAAAGTATAGTTACCGCGATCCCACTGCTTTGTGTTAAGATCTTGGCGCAGAATAATCTGTTTGAATGCTCTGCTCGTTTTTTTAAAACTTGATGAAGGAACCCTTAATGTTGTCAAGCTGACTTGCTGCTATGAAAACGATTGCATAGCGACGAAACATCGATCCAGACTACAGCTTTAGCGCCCACCGTCTTTTTTTCTCTACACCTGAACCATTCATTCAACTTCACATCTTCATTTCTTTTGTCCTCCTCGCAACCATGAGATCTCAACCGATACACGACACATATTTCCATTTACATGGGCTGTTTCTATTCCAAGGAAGTATGTCCCATTTTTCCGGATTCCGCGACTTCCTTTTCTTTTGAAGCTGCTCAGTAGCAGCGGTTCTTCGAGTGCTACTTGTTCTTTGGAATGCAGTTAGTTGGTTCGGATTTTACGATAGCGCACCAATCTTCCTCATATCGTCGGTTCCTATTTCCACGCTTTTTACGGCCAAAGAATACGTGGTTTGCGATATTGCTATCTAGACGCTCCGCTCATTAGGAATTTTGGTATGTCAAAGTAGCTTGGGCTACTGTGTTTTCTTCACGCAGGCTTCCGAATGCTCATCCCCGCTGCTGTCATTCACACAGATTCTCGGGTCTACTGTAAAGCAATGTTTTAATCGCTTGCATTGACTTCCTCTGACCAAATGATGCGGCGATGACCTCATCATCAGTAGTTCTTACCCTACTTCATCTAGGTCACAACATCGCATCTGAACATGGTGGAAGCATTGCTTCTCTCTTGCTTGCCGGCGTTTCAGAGTGGACAACTCAGTCTTTCTTGCTGGGATATTCCTGGATCTGATCCGTCTCTTCTGTGTCCTTTTGTTCAACCAACTGAGTGTCTGAAATCTCCCGTAATTGCTCTGCTTCTGGCCACTGTCCTACCAGATAGGGCGGACGCTCGGACTAGCTGGCGACATACGTTGTTGGTGCTACCAGTCAGGCAGACCGCAGGCTTGACTTTGTTCAATACGCTCGTTGAGGCTTATCAGAATGGAAATTTGATGCGAGGCCTTCCGGTACCAATATTTCTTCATGTAAGTATTGTACGCGTTCTCTAGTGAACCACACCTGCTTGTTTGTTACTGATTGGATTTAGAATCCGTCTGCTTGTTTTAGCTCCACTTTGTTTCCACCGATCGATTATACGGATGTTATACTTGCGGCTGGACCTCGCGGATTTTATGTGGATGGACACTGGTGGCTTAATTCCCGTGCATTTTTATGCATAGAATCCACGCCTCACCATCTGGGACTCTCCTGTCGTCGACATTTTCTAGCTCTTCGTGTGCTTGTTTTATTGAACTTAATGCTCTCTGCACACTGCTTTTGCCCTGATTTGGTTACTGTGTGCCCTTACGGTGTGAAATCAACATACAACTTGATATTTTCACGTATCGTAATGCATCGATGTCCACGTAGAATCCGGCGCGCTTATTTCCACTAATGTGAATAGCTCTGTATCCTTATATGGATCTTTATGCATATATATATATATATATATATATATATATATATATATCGTATGGAGTATGTAGCTTTCCACTTCAGTAATTGTCTTTATCTTTCTGCTTAGCGAGGAAACCTGATCTTTGATTAATCAAACCTACAAATACAAGACTGCATTTCTTCTTTTGCTTGGCATTGGCGCCTATTATTACTCTCGTCAAATTACATAGAGTATCGCATGAAGTGCGTTGTCAACCTAGGAATCCCCGGCTTGCTGGTTGCTTATGTAAACGAAATCACTATTAGTTTACGACAACCATCCAGTCTAGCCTGATTGCAATCTTTCATTTACTAACGGCTTCCACCCTACTGGTATTAAGCTTACCGATTGGCAGATACACCAACCACAACCGACCTCTGGTCCTTGACATTGTAGCGCTTGAAGATAGTTAATCATTATGCTTAGAACAGTCGTTCTCCATAAAATGTTCTACTTTTTCTTATCCTCCACTATTCTCCACAGGGCATGTACCTCCACGCGTACGAAGACCTGGTCTCCGATTCTCTTAAGCGCGACACACTGTGGCTCATCGTCGGTCTAGTCTCTCTACTCATTATGTTGGCCGTGGGCTCATGCAGTGTTTCGCTTCCGATAATCACTGTCGTGGGCATATTTTGGTCCCTCTTGATTGCATTCACTCTGTACACTGGTGTGCTGCGCATACCCACATTTCCGGTGATCAACTTCATGGCTATTGTTCTGGCCATCGGACTTGGTGCAGACGACCTTCTTGTGTATTTTCAGGTGGGTCGTATCTTTAGTGCGAATCTTGCCTGTTTTTTCAATTCGAGTTTTCGAAATTCAAATTTATCCGATCCTGATCACCTCGCTGTACATTACCATGAGTTCGTCATCTAAAACGGTCTTGGCACCCACATCATCACTAATTAGTCTGTTGCACTGCCCCGTTTACTTTTCTCCTTCGGTTACCCAAGCTTTTTCTTGTCGCGTCGGCGTGAGAATTCGCACGCCTTAGCTCGAACTATAGTTTTATTGTTTCAGCGACAACACGAAACGTAAACCTTGTCCTTACGCACGACCTAGGCGGAAGAAATAAAACGCAAGTTCATGTAAGCGTTGTTCCATAATGCAACTTAAAGAGAGTACATGGTTTCCAAATAAATTTGCAATGATAACGCAAAAGGACAGTCACAAGAAGACGTGTGGCGACGTGTAGAAACCTTACGACGTAGCAGTTCGTTCGCCGACAATCTATCCGAAGAGAGGAGCCACGAGTGTGCTGATGGTGTAGTGTGAAGGCGTTAAAGCTCTAAGAATGCAGGTGTGTTATCCAAATCGCCCTGATAGTTCGTTTTTCGATTACTGTGCTATAGTTTTCTAACCTTAAGCTTAGCGTAGCTCAGGACAACATTCAGTTTGCTCGCCAAAATGTCTGGGGCGATTGCGATACATAAGCTGCACGTATGATGATTTTGCTCGTATAGAAAAACTATACTAGCACAGCAGCTGTACTTGGCCCGAGGAGTTTGGCTACACGCCAGATGCATCACGATATATATATATATATATATATATATATATATATATATATATATATATATATATATATATATATAGTTATGTTAACCGCATTCAACACATTGCACTCTAAGCAGAAAGTGAGCAATTATCTGATTTCGAAAACACGCACGAATCAATCACTTAGACAATTTCCACCCTCAACTCAGAACGCCGTGCAATCCGCGCTGCTTTTGATGGCAACGAGGTGTTTTCTCATTGAAAATTGAAGTAGTAAGGAATTAGCTCATAATTACGGTCTTTTTAACACTCTCTTGGACATGAAAGGATTCCATTTTATTTTCTCTTTGGTACCTTATTGTAAATTACGTTGTGTACGGCGTGCTCTCCTCGATTTTAGCGTGCATTTCCGACTGCTCATGGGTAACAGAGATGTCATCATTATTTAATCACACAATGGTCGGTGGATTGATTGCCCCCACTGCTCGGTTCATGGACCCGTTTGCAGAATTCACGCAACTAGTCGCACCAACAGATGCAGAGCTTTGACCTAACTACCTAGCCTGAAATTGATGCAGTTCTAGCATAAGAAGCTGACGAAATGTTCCAAGCGTGCGTGTTATTGTAGGTCGATGTGACAGATTGTCCTACCCTGCCCAAGCATGCGGCTGTATGATCAAGTGTGTTACTTGCCTATTCACTAACTTGTAATGAACTGAAAATTTAGGAAGGTCTTAAACTACAAATCGGTTTTGTAAGGTCTTGCGTTACGGCCTACTTCACTAAAGATCACAAACAGCCAGTCGATTACACTACTGTTGTACATGCTCCTCTTGGCTGGTAATATCAGTGCGTGTTGGCCGGTGGCCGAAAAGATTGCACGCCTGGCTTGCAATACTTAGGTCGCCGTTTCGAATCCGCGTAGGGGCAGGCGTCCTCGTTGTATACTCAGCCCACGTGCTACCGGTGGTCGCGTGGAAACGAAGTGTTGATACCGTGTACCGACTTACCGCTGACCACTTCCTTTTCGACTTTTCTACCTCGATGGGTTGCAACCCTAGCCTATATGAGAGTCACAGAGTTGGTGCTCCTGCCGCTTATGATATCCCACCTCTTCACTCTTCTGGACATTCGTAACCTTGTTGTCTTCAGTATTTAGGTTGTCTGTTTATCCAACTACTTCTATGGGCTATGCTTGTTTTTTTGTCCTTACGAAATGAACGACGGTGCTAAATCCATTGTGCTATCGTTCACATATCCCAGCTTCTCAACTGAACTGCATTTTGTAGATCCCGATAGTTACTGTGTTTCAGCATGTCCGTAACACCCTGAAACGACCATTGGCAAGCAGTGTTCGAATTGACGGGTAGCGTTGATGTGAGGCAACGGTTCTTTGTGTGAAGAAGGCCAGTGCTATTGGGAACATCCGAGTGCTTTTCCAGCTCATCCGGACGGTCCGAGATGCCATCAGTTAGAGAGACGGTATCTGGGAAAGATGGACAGTAGATCCATTCTCAGCCTTATCGACTAGCCCTTTGGGCGTAACATTTTGAAGAGCAGTTCAGCAGTCCTGCTGCGACACTATCGCCCACTGAATCATCTGAGCTGACCTGGGAATTTGATGTCACGTCCCACCTTGGAAGAGATTCGATATGAGTTTACCGTGTTGGAACAAAACAAGACTCTTATATCCGACCGCCTTCCTCTATCTTTGCTGAAAATGGAGGTGACTCTTTATGCTGCTCTGTTCAACACCATTTGGGACGCGAAATATGTGCCTTCAAACTGGCGGCTGTCAACTATCATGCTATCTTTAGAAAGGGTCTACGGACTTGTTGCGATAATATTTTCTTTACGTCTTGTGATGCACACTCAGCGTCAATTGTAAACTACAGACCCAAGTGGATATCCTTTTCGACAACATTTCTGAATTCCGAAATGGTCCAGACGCCAGAGTTCATTTCGAATTTTTGCTCAGGAGATTCGGGAACATATTCCTTTCTGAGCTTGTAAATGCATCCGACGGATTGACATGTTGGAAACCAGTTTGTGATTTGGTGACCAAAAAGGATGATACCTCCATGCATCTGTCTTTTTATATCCAGTAAGCCTTCTTTTGATTTACTTGTATCACTGTTAACTGCATCCGTTCCAACAACACGAAGCCGTTCGAAGGCGCAGTGTTTCATTCCCGCTACTTTTACGAGTGCCATCAACTATCAATATGTGAGATGCAGACAGTCAGTACAAGGCACCTACTCTTGGAAACTAAGATCTCTATAACGTTAGTTAACAGGATTAAGCATAGCCAGTGCTTGACCATTAACTCCAACTGTCTGATGTACCTGGAAAAGGTAATTGTTACAGACATGATCGGTGCCAACCAGCCATTGTGGTTCGAATTTTCTTTTCTCACGGCCGTGATGTTCGTGCATAAAGCCAAAATTGCACAAAACGAACTGTTACTCCCTACTCACCATAATCCGAAATACTTTTAAGTTGGGTTGCCTGCGGTTGATTTCGCCGAGGTAAGCTGCAGACTTTTCCGCTAATCCCGGTGGCATTTTTAGTGCGGTTTTCCAGCAAATATTGAGCTTCACACTTACAACTTATCGGTAAGATTACTGAATAATGAGAATATGCAACGAGTAGAGATGACTCTGTGTAGCTACATATAATATCCTTGAAGCAAATCTACCTATTATGTAGTTATTATTCTCACAATCCCAAGTCGGAAAAGTGCGAATCCAGGAGTTTCCTAAACTCCGACACCGACTTTGCTTCGACTATGTCTGCAGCCAGGTTGTTCCAAATATTCACTAATCTTCACTCAAAGCAGAGCTGGTGAGCTACCCGCTTCAAATCCTGCACGATAATCTTGTACCGGTGTGCGCAGATGAAGCCTCATGGGGTCATCGCGATGTAATATCCGGTGCGTCATGATGAGGTCAACCCGCATTCGACGATAAGACAGGGTGTACAACCCTAGTCTCTTGCACCGGTCTTCATATGGCACACCTTGTAAACCGTAGATGAGCTTTGTGGCCACATGTTAGACCTCGCTCCGGGTGACCGGACAGTAGGTGGGTGACCTGTACTCTATCATTGGTCTGATGATAGGAGAGAAGTGGCGGGTGGTAACCTCTTCGTACCAACTGCAGAAGCTGCGTTTGAGCGTTTTGCTAAAGCCTGTTTGTGTTTTCAACGGATTTCAAATCGCAGCGTGAGAGTACGCCGAGATATTTCACGGATAGAGTATACCAATTCAATGCAATGTTAGTGCGTGCTCCATGCTTGCTTTTCAACAGTACATCACATCCGGTATGCCACTGGGAGTCGAGCGGTTAAGTGCAGACAGAAGATGCGCACGAAAAGTCAGGTCAGAAATACTCCGTTCGCTTGTACTACTCATAAGTAAGCAATTCTTCGTTTAACTAGCTTAAGCGGACAGAGTGATTTATTCTCACGTCTCCATTCAGCTGGCGAATGGCACAACACGCTGATGGAGGCAAATCTAGCTATGATGACGGTTTATCTTCGGGCAATTGTAGTACAACGGAGCAGAAATTCAGTAGGGAAACCGCGTTTTTAATTATTTTTATCGTCTTCCGAATGGAAGTCTAGAAATAATGAGCCAGGTTACCCGAAATTATAGTCAACAAGGAAGAACAAAATGAATGGCGAAAACTCCTACATTCGCACAGCTTGCCAGATAGGGTTTGCTAAACATGCGTGTTCTTTCCGTTGTAGCGATTCGCGCGTTGGGGATAGGATGTGAAGCATAATGGACACCAGTAGCTTGCAAACTGCGAGAACTAAATGTACACCCCTGTAGTTAGAGCACATTGTGCCTAGGCGGGTGCTAACTATCGATTCACCCCAAAACGATAGAACCTCCTCTTCTGAGAACAAAGTGGCAAATAAACGTCACCTTCAAATAGATTGGGAGGTAGACTATCATGACTGGGGGTTCTATAACAGTTCAAAAGACGGAGCCCCTGCCAATTTTTCTGGTGAAAAGGCGATTTTGTGGGGATAGCGGTCTCAACACCAGTGCGCGCTCCAGCGGAAGCAGATGAAGTTGGGGGCCAGAAAAACTGCGCTGCAACTATAGTGGAAGATTAGCAATTATGTAGCCATCCTCTTCGCAGATTGTTTCAATTACACCCGATCGGATATTTTCGTTGATTCAAATGAAATCTGAGTCTCTGTTATTACCAGAGATACTAGCGAGTTCCATCTCTATCTGGCACATTCACACCATAAGATTGAACGTCACAAATCTACAGGGTAGTGACCTGGAGATTCCCCTGTTTGGCTGCCGCATGCTGCGTAAAATATTACAAAATCACAAAACTATATTTTCTCGATGTA